TTCTCAGCTGATCTAAAGGAAGTTGGGGTGTGGGTGTGGGGTGTGTGGATGTGGGTGTGGGTGTGGAGTGTGGGTGTGGGTGGGTGTGGGGTGTGGGTGTGGGGTGCGAGGTGTGGTTGTGGGATTGTGTATCAGTATTAGTGTAAAGAAGACTTTCACACTCACACCCACACCGACACCCACCCACACCCACAATCTATTGGGATGCTATCAAAATGTAGTAGCTGACAACTTCTTTACAACTATTTCTCTTGCAAAACGTCTATCACAAAACGATACGTATCTGATTGGAACATTCAGAAGTAATCGTGCTGGATTAGAACATGAAGTTGTTAAGAAAAAGCTCAAGCGTGGTGAAGCTTATGGGCTCCAGAGCAAACATGGCATCAAATTGATCAAGTGGAAAGATAAAAGAGATGTCTTGATGATATTCACAAAGCCATCGCATTCAGTAACTGTGGTGGACACGAGAAAAATCAGTAAATTAAATGAACACATCATGAAGCCACAAGTTGTTCTCGATTACAATGAAGGAAAACAAGGTATAGATTTATCTGATCAGCTCTCAACATACTATACATGCCTCCGACGATCTGTAAAATGGTATGAAAAGGTGGCATTTGAATTGTTATTTCGAACGGCAATAGTTAATGCCTGTTTGATTTATAAGGAAAATTATGACACAAGCCATATAACCATGCTGCAGTTTCGTGAAAGTCTGGTGCGATTTTTACTCCTTGGTGCACCATTCGAGGATCTGAAACCTGGCCCGAGACAACAGTCAACAAGTCATTCGAAGCGCAAACTCGCTGATCACAAGCTCGAAGAAAAGGAAGGATCTACGCGCAATGTTGGCAGACGGTGCACTGGCTGCTATGCAAAGGGAAGAGCACGACAGTCAAGAGAAGCGAGCAATGCGGCAGCAAAGAAAGTAAAAATTTTCTGCTCTGACTGTGATAAAATTTTTTGTCTTGAGTGTTTTAATGATAAGCATTATGCTATGAAATAAAGGATTCAAATAAAGTACTGAAGACAGAAGAAATGACATCTTATGTTTAACCTACTGCGTAAGAAAAAAAGCAAAAAAAAAGTGCTTTTCTATACAGTTTCTCATTAAACTATAGCGTTGCCCACCGGTGGGCGGCATCGCCTCGAAAGGGTTAATATAAAAGAATAATCGAATAATTTAAATGAAGAATTTCTTTCTTTGTCGTCAGTGAAACAAATTCAATATGATTTTTTTTTCAATAAAAATAAATTTTAAAATATTGAATGATTATTTATAATATAAAAATGTTATGAAATCGACTTGATTAATTAGAGAAATTTTAATGAAAAAAAGCAAAATAAAAAAAAGTTGAAATGCATGAATAAATATTGTTTATATTAAAAAAAACTAAAACGATATAATTCAGAATAAAAACAAAGCAATATAAAAGTTTGTTTTATTCTAAGTAGAATTATTTGATTGTGTTAGTGGTTCAATAGAATATCGTCTTTTAAATGGCCACAGTTTGTTTATCCATCGAACATTATTTATTTGATTATGTTCATTATTAGTTGATAAATCTTGTTGATTATTATTTTCATTAAATGAAGAATTAGTAATGTTTTCATCATGATGCTCTTGATATATTTGACTAATATATGTACCAAGAGTATCACTCAATGGAGAATTATTTTCAAAAAAGTAAGAATTTATTTGAGCACCAAATATAAGTATAATAGCAAAATAATAAAAAAAGATAATAAGAATGACTGCAAAACCAATTTGACCTCGAAAAAATGAAGAAAGATAGAAAAGTAAAAAACAGTAAACGAATTTTTTAAATAAAATTTGAAATAAAAATGTGTTACCGGCATAGTTACTTATAAATTTTCGTACATATAATGGAAATAAAATGATAAATAATTCTAAAATGATAGCAGCAATCAATGCTCCACACCATGTTTTTTTTAAACTCATCTTTTTATTTGGAGTTAATCGATAAATCATTTGAAAAAGACCAAACGATATTGATAATGATATTAATATACCAGCTATAAATAGACCAAAACGAGCGGCATCTCCTTTAACTGTATTCATTAAAGCAGATGGTACTGAACTAGCAACAAGCATTAATATAAATATCATAATGAATGCTAATAAAAGAGCAATTGCCATTAAATATTGACGTAGAAATGAACGTTCATGTAAACGATAAATAATAGCCAGAGTTTTATCAATAGCAACAAATAAACGAGATGAACTAATCATTGCAAATAAAATACCAATAACTAATATAACTCCAGCATCTTTTGATAATTTATCAAATGCAAGATCAACTACCTAACACATACATTCAATATAATTGATTAGATTTTCATTTATTATTATTATTATTCTATTTATTACCATTTTACAAATTTGCTTTTTTTTTAATACTAAACTGAACATTTCCTTTTATTATTTTAAAATAAACATATCATTATTTTCATGATAATACGAGAAACTAATATATATATATGTCAGCGTCCATACTAAGATTAGGTCCAATCTCAGATTGGCCTAGACGAATGTGAGATCCAAGATTAAACGCGTCTATACTCGGATGACACATTGGACGTACATATTTTCAGGCCATTCTTGGATAAAACATAAAACCAGTGGCGTAGCCAGGGTGGTGGCCATTGGGCAATTGCCCAATAGTTCAAAAGTTATTGCCCAATAAATTTTGCGGACAATAGTAATTGCCCATTAAATTGGTAAAAACGTTTTTTTTTGCTCTTCACTTTTGATTTTTTGGGTAAGGGATCGGAAAAACTTATGACTGTTCCTTTTTAATTCTCTTCAGGGAACATAATGTTTGTGATACTAATAAATATACAAAAACTATAGCCCAAGTGATGTTGAATTGCCCATTGTTGCCCAATCTAGAAAATAATTTAGCTGGGAAATGGCCCATCGCTCAGAAATTCCTGTCTACGCCACTGCATAAAACATACGTTCAATCTCGGGTTGGACTGAAATAGTCAGGCGAATTTAAGATTGGACTAGTCCCATGTCAATATGATTTGTGAATCTCGTCAATTCATGACGATATAGAGAGGATATCTCTCGCTTCGTTTGGTATCGCCTTTTCATTCTTCACTCAGTCTTTTCTTTTCATTTTCAACTGAGTATTTTCCTTTCTTTCTCTATTCTATATGTGGCTTTTTCCGTTCATTCATTGTGTTTTCTCTCTGCTTTATCGTTATGTTCAAGGGATTGTTTTTTGCTCTCTCCCGCTCTGAATGTTTCCACTTCGAGTATCCTATACATCCCATATATAGTGGATGTGTTTCTATGGATAAAATATAAATGATATCATAATACTCATCTCGTATTATTATCTATTCATCGATACAGACTTCGACATTTTACAGTTTTATCAAAATGGTTGCCAACATATTTGTGAGCAATGTTCTATCGACTCCCGAAACATCGACTAAAGTTGCGGATGTCATCGTTAGTGGAAATCATGTGATCATTAGTAATGGTGATCAATAGGATGTGGGTGTGTGTACTTCGGTGTTAGTGGCTTTGTGTGAGTGTGTGTGTGCGGATCGTTGGAGAGAATATTAAGATCCAGATTCAAATTCGCACCTACATCACACGCACAAACCCGCACCAGCACCCCTCCCCCTCCTTCCACTTACACGCTAGTATTTCTGTTCAATAAATTTTCTTATTTCACTGCCTTAAATGTCATCTCTTTGATATGTGCATCACTTTCAAACATCATTTTTGACATCGACTAGAAGATAGTCTAGGTTCATACTGATATTGGTCTAGGCTAATCCGAGATTCGCCGTACTTATCTTTCAGTCTGACATTGGGCTAGTCCAATCTTAAATTCGCCTGACTATTTCAGTCCAATCTGAGATTGGACATAATCTTAGTATGGACGCTGACATATATATATATTGTTCTAGTCAATTTTTCTTGATAATAATTCATCAGAATTATTATTTAAAATATATGATATATTTTAAAATGATTATTTACTTCTATAATATAATATGATATAATGAAATGTTCCGATTTGTAATATTTATTCTAAATGAATTCTATTAAAGATGATTGATTTTTAAAAAGTAAATTAATTTATTTTGTTTTATTAATCTATGATTATAATATATGTTAAAAATAATTAAATATATTAATATTATCTTGAATTAATAACATTTATAAATAATATTTAAAATTTTAAAATAGAAATTCTATATTTTCTTTTCAACTATTCACTAATTTAAAGTTTTAAATAATATTTAAATATTTTTCATCAACAATTTTGATTAATGAGAAAAATTTATAGAGAAAAGGCAAAAGTCTCTTATCTCTCTTATAAATTTATTATACTCAATTTTATCTTTTTGTGTACTCAAAAAGTGAGTACACTCTAGAATCGGTCAGTATGTCCGTCCGGCCGTATACACGATAACTTTCGAAAGGAGAGTCAGATCATGATGAAATTTTCTACACGGTTTGGTCTCATCAATGTCTCGGTCGAGTTCGAAGATGAGAAGGATCCGTCAAGAAATGGCTGAGTTATCGAAAAAATTGTCATTATTGACAAGACCATCCCTGAGGGGGAGTACAGGGATTTTTTCAAAAAAAAATTTTTCTCAGAATTATTCACACCATATATAAATCGACTCAGTTTTTAATGTTGATTCCGAATCTGATATTAGTTTTGAACTAAATCGTAGCTTTCTAACAAAACATTGGCTGAAAAAGGTCTAAAAATGCACAAAAACTGCATGGAGAAAGCAAATAGCCTAGATATGTCTCAGATGATAAAAAACAAAGTGAATATTTCTTCGACATAAAAATAAATGAAAACATGTTGAGAAATATTTATTGAAAACTTGTTTATTATAGAATAGTTGAATATATAAATTGAATTTTATTCTAATAAATAAATTTAAAACATAATTCTTATCGATTTTAGATAATATTTACGTTTCTTTTTTTCTTTTTATAATTATTTGTTTCTAGTTTATATTTTATCTTCGATATCGATAAATCTAAAGTAAATCTATTCGACTAATTTGGTTAATTCGATAAATATTTTAAAAAATGTTAAATATTGAATTAAACATAATTTAATATAAACATACTTGTTTAATTGCAACTTGTGTTGTATTGTCTGATGGAAATAATTGAATTATATTATCTTTCAGATCTTGTTGAATTTGAGGACGATCATTTAAAATGAGACCTAATATACCAAAAAGTGTTATAGCTATTGGTAAAAGAGCAACCATTAAATTAAACGCAATCATTGATGCTAAATCAAATGACCAATCATTAAGAAATTTTTTAAAAAAACGTCGAAGAACTCTTGTTTTATTTTCAGTACGTTTGAAAGTTGATGAAGACGTGACGTTTTCAATCATTGTTCGATTTTCTTAATTAAAATAAATATTTTATCGAATATAATAATAAAACGATGACGATACAACTATATTTAAAAACAAACTCTTATGAATGTGAACGTAAAACGAGAGTAAAAGAATATTTCAACAATAAAATATTAGACAAGAACAAAAAAACAAAAAAGAATTGAAGGGCAAAGAGTGCGTTAAATTCTTCCTTGTTGTATTTGACAACTATAGAGTAAAAAGAAAGAACAAAAAAAATAAAAAAAAAAAGAGTGTAGTACATTTTTGAGATCTTATTGATTATCAACATAGATCAGATATCTTAACTTATTGTTATTGTCTTTGACTACGACGATGAAATTTTTTTCATAAATTATTTTTCAAAATAAACATCTCACTAATCTTAATAAGCAGTGAGGATATTATATTGATGATCACATAAAATTGTTTGTTGTATGATCTAAATTGATATTTTTAATGTTAATCGACGACGAATATTGAATAAGAAACCAAATAATTATTTAAATAAATATTCTATTTATATAAACTATATAATATGTTTATGTATATGTATGTTATCAATCAATGTTGGCGATTTGTCAATAACTACTATATGAAATAGGCTTATTTTATTATTTTCATTAATATAAATATGTCAAAATAATGGTTTATCTTTTGGTTTTTGTTATGTATATATCAATCGTTTATTTGAATAATGAAAGAAAATATTGATATATTTGTTAATATTGAATATCATTTTCTAATAATAAATTCTATAGAAATTGTTAACATAGCTGGTTATATGTTTCTTATATTTTTATTTTTAATTTGTTTAAAATGAAATAAATAAATAATATGTTTGAATAACTAATTATTATTAAATCTATTAGTTTTTCAATATGAAACAAGGAAAATTTATCAATAGAATATAATCATAGGAAAGAATAAATTTTACTTTAATTGATACATAAAAATGTTGAAAAAACATTGTATAAACATAAGTAAAGAAAAAATTTTTCTTTTCATCGAACTAATAAAAAACTTTTTATTATTAATATGAAGATTTTCAAAGAAAAAAAAATTCTTGTTCAAAACAAAAAACTTCTTGATAAAATAAAATAGACAATAAAATCGATTAACTTAAATAGAGCAATATCATTCAATATAGATATATTAGTTATCTTATTAATCATATTTAATAAATAGGTAAAATCAGATAAATTAATATAGAGAATATCTTTATCAAATAAATTTAATATAAATATAATTATTGTTGTTGTTGTTGTTGTTGTTCAGATAAATATTCTTATTGATAATAACTGTAGTTAACGATTAAATTTACAAAATGTTGCTTGAACAATTTATTAAAATCGAATAATTGAAGTTAACCACGAATAATAGTTTACTCTTGCTATTTTATTTCTATAAATATCCCATGGCGTAAATTTCTGCGAAAAAAACGCGTTCTCAAAACGCATTTTTCCATAATTGCGAAACGCGTTAATGCTGACCGGTTTAACGCATTTCACCTCTGCTAATACGAACGCTGTGAAACGATCGTTTTTCTAAAAACGTTTCGTAGCGTTTCTCTAACTGTGGTGTCGTATATTCTAGATGGAAAAAAATGAAAACCGTCAACTACTTCATGCACTTTGAGCTGCAGATACAATTATTTTACTCGCTTACATTTTTCATACACCTTTAGAGCTATAACTTAGATCAATTTTGATAAAGCCAACACATAGATTCGAACACGAGAACATAAGAGTAGAAGACATGTGTACAAACCGTTCAACTAAAATAATCTAATGATATAAGTGCTTATTCCATAGTCTTTCAGAGTCTTGCGTAAACTTACTAAATTAGATTTTCAGTATCCCATTCCATTAAATTAAAAATTATCATTTCCTTGGTGCCTATACCCAATAACGAGTTTGATCTACTCTTGGTATATTTTTTATTTGAACTTGTTCAAGTTTAAATTTAAATACCCAATTGAAACGATTTTAATTAATTTAAATTGTATTTAATGTTTAAACAAGTTGAATATCTTAGATATAAATTTTAAGAAATTTAAAAACAAATTTTTTAAATTGTTTTCTTTATTTAATAGATTTTTGTATAAGTAAATTCGTCATCCTTTTATCCAAAAGTATCACTAAATGCAAAGAATATTCTTTTTATTAATAAGTCACGCTTACATTAACAAAGTAAGAACTAAATTCATATTTAATAGTATTGTACACAGTATCATCAGTCACTATCCAGTAGTCCAAATATGAATTCATATCAATAATTATTCAAATTATAAATAACTCGAGATTCTTTTGTTCACAAATAAGCAACCAAAGTTGTTGTACACATTATACTAGCTTTAGTCTTTACTAAATCTTTTCGAATTGTTCAATATTTAAAACAATGCTTGGTTGAACGTTACGAAACACGTTTTCTTTCAATAAAAACCTAGTGAAATGAGTTTTCAAGGAAAAAACAATATTTTTCTTACATTTTGATGTTCAATATTAGTCTAACTATCAATCAGACTTATATAACAGTCTAGCAGCCTACACATTTAGAAGAATTCGATTTTAATCTTGCGTTTGGAAAGTTTGGGTCATGATTTTGATGTTGAGAAACAGTGCAAGGAACAAAATGTTCAAATTCCATTTCCTATAATTTCTAACATAGGGCCAGAATTAACTTTGCTTAACTCGTACGTTTTGTACAGATAAATTCCTGCAAGATTCTGTATGCAAAACGGATATATTTTGCATCATTTCAAACAAAAAACGATGCAAAATGCCTTTGAAAAGGAAACGCGTTTCATATTTCTCCGAATCTGTGTCTCTGGAACGCGTTACCTATCGACCGAAATGCGTTCAACATTATTTTACTTCGGAAACGCTTCGAAACGCAATCTTGAAAAAACGCGTTTCAGATCATTTCAAAAAATGACAGCAGCAAAACGCATTCTATCGAAGTAAGAATGCTGTGAAACGCGTTCTATATTGAAAAAACGTCGCGAAACGCATGCTGCAATCTCAGAAACGCGTTACGCAGTCCGTTTCCTTGAATATTTTACTCCATGGGATATGTCAGAGAATTGAATAGATTTCGATTTATTATCGATCGAATTATTTAAATGAATTTCTAAATATTTCATTTTCTTATTATTTCTTAAGAATATTTATTAGATAAAGTCTCACTTCCTTTTCTTTTTCATTTCTTCAATAAAAATTCAAGAGAGAAAAAACATTTGAACAATTTATTTGTATTCAAATATAATTATTCAAAGTTTGATAATTAACACTTTCTTTCCGAATAGTGACGTATAAATACCATTTTTTAAAAGTTTTATTCACTTAATCTGTAAGACATACACAAACGAATTTAATAACGCATCTATTGCAGATTGTATATCAATAATATAAATATAAAATTCTTCATAAAATCTATATTTGCTGCTCAAACAAATCTTTTATGTTATGCTCTATAATAGATTCGTACGATATATCACATAACGGATTTGATTGAGACTTTTTGTGTGCATATTAGAGATTATTGTAAAATCATAATGCCGAACGATTTTCAGTTTGAGACCTTAACCTTTAGCAATTGGAAGATTGATTTAGATATTAAATTAAATAATAAAATATTTCTATAATTAATTAATTAAATATATATATGTATATATTTGTTTGAAAGACATATTTATTGTTTTCAGATATAAAATAGTAATATAAAAAAATTTGTTATATTATGTCGAATTGTTTGAAAATGTTCTAATGATCAATAAAAAAGAAAATAGTATGATTGTAGACTGTATGATCCCTGGTTGTTAATATTCTTGCATAATAATATTGCACTGATCGACCTCTGACTCAGTTGATTTTTCTTGTTCTGTGATGATATAAATGACACATACATTTACTTTAGTAGAGAATGAAAGACGAATGACTAAATAAATCAAATTTAATATTATTTTTTGAGAATTTCTTAAATAAAAAACAAAACAAAAAAAAACAAAAAGAAAAAAAAACCGATATTCTATCGCTGAATAATGCATAAAGTTAGAAATATAAAAAGCAACACAACAAAGTAAAAATAAAAAACTTATTTTAATTCTTCCCTGATTTGTTGAACAAGTATTTTAAGTTTATCTCGATATTTAAATAATTCTTTTTGAACAGTTGGATGTTGAGGATTAGCTAAATTAGTAAGATACCAAGAAGCAGTTGATTGAAGAAAATCATACATTTTTTGTAAAATCGAAAAATTTTGAATTGTTCTTGGAGTTGAAATTTGATGTTGTTCAAGTTGATGCTAAAGATAATTTTTTAAATAATCATCATAAATAATTGGTTTATATGAACGAAAATATTCTTCACAAATTGGATATGAACCAGCCCATTCCCAATCAATAATACCTTTCTTTTTATTATCATCAGATACAATTAAATTTTGAACACCAAGATCATTATGTGTAAATACATTTGGCATATTATCAAATGATGGAAGATTTAATTTTTGAAATTCTTCTATTGATTTCATCATATCATCACGAACTGGTTCAAATATATTTTCATTTAATAAAAAAGATATTTGACGTTTTAAATGATCATTATAAAAATCTTTATAATTATTTCATGGACCCATTTTATTACTATCAGCACCTATTTCACCATTCATTTTATAATTTCCAATTTGATTTGAACGTGAAATACTATTATGAAATTGAGCTATATATTCAACAAGTTCATTTATTATTGATTTTTGTTTATCAATAGATTAATTTGGCCACGTATCATTTGTTTTTGATGAACTTCTTAATGGTTTTCCAACTGTACGTGTCATTACAATTCATTCAACACCAAATTCATTATTTGCATCTGATGAATAAGCTACTACATATGGAAGAGGAATTTGTGTATATTTATGAACTAACCTCCTATTTACATATTACCTAATCACTTTTTTATTTTTCCATCTCTCCTTTCCCATATCACCACTTATCAGTTTTCATCACTCCCTTCTTCAATGTGTATCATGTCATCAGATCAAATTTTGTTGACGTCTTATATGTTATAGAGTGACTTATAACATGAACTATTAAACAAGGGAATATGAGAAATATGCGGAATACTGTTCAATCAATAATAGTATATCAGAAGAAGATTTGAGACCAACAAAATCTTAAGCTTCGTACATATGTTTTCTATCTGTCAATATAACTTTTCAAGAGAAATCAAAGATGTTCATTGTCCCTAAAAACACACTGGCGGTGGCGAAAAATATGAGTTAAACTTTCAAATAGTGGTGGCGGTGCAATCGCTCCACAGAGCGGCTCCTCGGTGTTTTCTCAAGTTAATTATTATAATGTGTTCCTTAGATTTATTACAACATTTTCTTTTAATGAATTCTGCGTAATCTATTGATCCGATAAGCTCGTTTCAACGTAATTCAATAAGCCTAGACATAGATGGACATGATGCGAAAAGTTATTAGAAAATCATGTACTAATGTCCGCGCCAGAATTAAAGAGGGGTTGGTGTCAATTGAATAATTCAACAATGGCAAGAGCTAGCGACCTGCGGTTTTCACCAATCGAAAGAGGAGACTGGGGAACATATTTTATCACGATATTGTTTCGGACCAAATTGTTTTGGACACTGTCGTTTGTGGAAATCTTTTCTGAGAAGACATACAAATGGCATACCAATACAATGTATTTTTATTTTGATATTCTCATTAGATAGAGGGATGTCAAATCTACACTCCTATATAAAAATTCAAACAGCTAGCTTCTCATTTTCTTATCATTATCAAGCGACATCGAGTTTCTGATGCTCTATAATAAAGAATATTACTCTGAATTGAAAACAATTATTATCACATAATCACTTAGGATGTATCTAGAAATTACAGATCCCACTAAATGAATTCTTTAGTCGACGAAATATCACGTATATTGCAGTTCACAAATGTGTTTTAAAAAACTTCATTGGAAAAATAAATATAAAAAATACAAGATATGAGAAGCAAATAAATAATCCTTGAATTCTAAAAATATCTCTAAATTTTCGGCATATTGAAGTCGCATGATTATTTTCACTTTGTAATGATGTTTTTATATCGAGATACATAGTTCAATAGAACTAAACATTCTGTTGCAATATTCTACAGGCACATTATGTGCTAAGAATTATATATACAGACATACATACATGTTTCTCATGAATATGTAACATAAATTGAACTAACTGGCATAGAGGACGCAAAGACACAGTTTTATAGTTCAATATATATCGTTATTGAGAATGGAAGTCCTCGCTTTTGTCTTATTTGTTGCTCTGAATAATGAATTATTGTACAGCATTATGTTACACTTATCTTTATACGTATACTCTACACTTGATCAAATAATTCTTTCATTCACCACATTTTTTCACATACTGCTATAATGCCACACGGTTCTCATTTCTCAGCTGATCTAAAGGAAGTTGGGGTGTGGGGTGTGGGTGTGGGGTGTGGGGTGTGTGGGTGTGGGGTGTGGGTGTGAGGTGTGGGTGTGGGATTGTGTATCAGTATTAGTGTAAAGAAGACTTTCACACACACACCCACACCCACACTCACATCCACACCCACACCCACACCCACACCCCACACCCACACCCACACCCAC